AAAAAAGTAGAGGGCCAGAAAGACCAGACCTTGGAGAGAAGGAATGATGGAATGGTGGCACCCATATTGATCAGGGAAGGGATGGACTTAACCTCCACTGTAAGCGTTACTCAGAGGTTGGCATCCAAGATGGTCTAAGGGGCTTCTGAGGACTCCAGGAAGCATCAGTCATTGGTGGTGGCCAACCCAAGAAAGTCTGGAAAGGAGATGATTGGGAGCCCCAAGGGTTGTGACCCAGAAGTAGCTGCCAGTGCTAGGCATTCTGACTTCCAGTTTGGACCTCCATAGGAAGAACATGACTTGAGAGAAATCCTGGGCTTGGGGTATCCCTTAGCCCAGAGACCATTCTGGCAGCATTTGAAGCATGGCCCTGGAGGGCCACCTTGGGTCAGTGGTGCCTTCAATCTCTTTGTGGTCAACTTGGTGGTTGACTTTGAGGGGTTTCTTACAGTGGAGATCAGCATCTGCAGCTTAGAAATTCACTGCTTTCGAGCACTTTCATCCCTGTTATTAAAAACTATAAAAACCAAGTTGATTTTGTCCTACTGTGAGATTTGAGGGCCATTTCCAGTTTTTACAGTTTTTTATGAATGTCTGGGGCACACTGAGTAATGAAGTACATTTTAAGTTGATTTTAAGATGAGTTGCCCTTCTGTTTTTCCTGGGTCTAATGCTGTGTATCGTCTAAGAGCAGCAGTTAGGCAGGCCATAAATTGGACCAGATTTTCATCTCTGGTGTGACTGGTTTCTCTGAGCTTATCAAAATTAACTGCCATATAGGCAACCCTGTGAAACCATTCTACTACATAGTCAACCATGCAAACTTGGTCAGCTATGTTCCCAGATCCTGCCTGATAGTTACAGTTTGGTTCCTCCTGGAGTACAGCTGTGGTACCCACTAGACTCAAACAAATTAGCATTCATCCCCATAAGATTGAGAGAGGGAGATTACTCATTCTTGCTCATCTGGGGAGAGGATGGAGGTAAGGATAATATTTAAAACAGCCCAAGTGAGGTTATGTGACTGAATTAGGTATTGGATCTCTTGAATATATTGAGTGGGGTCTGAAGAGGAGCTCAGATGCTGGTTAATTTGGGAGGAGTCTGACTATTCTTTCTGCCTCTGCCACCTCATGGAGTGGGAACTGAGAGGCTGGGGGTGGGCAAGGGTTTGGAGTTAGAACAAGGGGTAAAGGGTGAGAGGCCAAACTGTAGTCTGAATCAGGTATGAGGTGGAGTAAGGCTGGGTACAGCATATGGGGTTAGAGTCAGGGGTAGTGTCAGATAGACAAGAAACCTGGCAAAAGGCTGGCTGGGGAAAGTGACAGAAAGCTTGGCAGGTGCTAACCATGAGGAGTTGGAGGCTCTGGGTGAAGGGGTGTGTGGCAGCTGTGGCAGGAGGCTCTGGGAGCTGCCAAGGAAGAGTGGGGTCAATTGGATCATGCATGTGTAAATACCAAATTATTTATCTGGTGTGAGAAACTGAAAGAATAAGTGAGGACTAAAATGTATAACAGATAGTGTGAAATAGGAAAATAATATTCAAAGAAGTAGGAGAATTGGAGTGGGGTAGGGGAAAGGAAATAAGAGAAAAAATTTTAAAAAAGGAAAAATGGAAACAAAGGTTATGTATTTAGGGAGGGTGGAGGATTTGAAGGAGCGAAGAAGAATGGGAAAAAATAAGAACCAAGATATGTCATGTACAGATACAAATTCCCAGTGATGGAATATGATCATAACGTATACCTAAAATGTACCAATAAAGTTAATGAATAAAATAAAATAAAAAACACCATATATATTAGGATTAACAAAATTTCTTTTGGGGATTCTGTTAGCCAGAGTTCTACAATGGCAACAAAAAGATAACACCATAGATTTCCAGACCAACACAAATCATTCATAAGATCAATAATTAAACTTTTAGTGTTTTAAGCCAGTGGAAAAACCCAACTTGCTGTGGTAAGTTTTACTATTTGCCTTTATACCTTTAATTGAAATTTTTATTTTGAGATAACTCTATGTTATTACACAGTGGAAAAATGAGAAAGAGAAACCTACATAACCTTAGCTCAGTTTCCAGTATAGTAATGTTGAGAAAACTGTGATACAATATCACAATCAGGATATTAACACTGATAAAATGAAATGAAATCAGCAAGTCAAAAAGATGCTTTCACACCTATGTTAATTGAAGCACTCTTTAAAACAAGTAAAATATGGAATCAACCTAGATGCCCATCACCAGATGAAACCCATATGGTGTACATGTACAGTATAGTATTATTAAACCATAAAGAAAATGAAATCCAGTTATTTGTGGCAACCTAGTTGGGACTGGAGGATATTTTGCTAGGCAAAATAAGCCAAATTCAAAAAGCACAATACCACATCTTCTCTCTAATATGTTGACCTTTACAATAAAATAGTCTGCTTGACTGTAAAACATGGGATACACTGAGGTAGGAGTAGTAAAAAGGTGGATAAAGGGTGCTGGACTTGATTCATTAGAGTATATACATATTTGAAAATAACACACTGGACCTCAATGATATGTACAACTTTTACCACTTAATCAAAATAAAACTAAATACAAAAATATTTCAACAAATCAACAATCCCTGGCATTGACCTTTTAGACCTTGCATCCACCTTCCTTCCAGTGCCTGACTCTCACGAAAAAAAAAATTAACCTATACATCTCTTTTTTGTATTTTTATCATTTCAAAAATCATGTTTGGAATATAGAAATAGCCACTTGGGAAAAATAGTGGGGAAGATACCTATGGGAGCTGTTTTTCCTCTGACTATTGTAGGTAACATACGCATTGAGGTAAAATAGAAAGAGATCCTAAGATTAGAATAAAACTCAATGAGAAGCTATACAATATTCTAGTATGCTAAGGTTTATAGCATTAAGAAGAGAGGATAAGGAAGTGAACCATGGAGGAATAATCAACATACAAACCAAAATTGGTGGTATCTGAATTGCTACCAATATAAACATATATTAATTGCCTATGTTGTTGAATGCAGTTTTTCCATGTTTCTCTAACTTAAGACTACTTTTAGTAAAAGGAAAATAGATGAGTATGATATGGTATTTTAAAAAAATGTACTTTCTGAAGATGTGTTCTTCAAACATATGTCCTATAGTAAAGATGATTTTCCAATTATTTCTGATCCTGAGATGGTAGTAACATTGGAAAAGTTGGGAAGTGACAAAGTGGAGAAATTTGGATGTAAGACTGCAGAAACTACAATCAAGGAAATTACATAAATTGGATAGGGAAGGTGAAAATCAAAGAAATGGAGACTCCAGGAAGAAAAGAGAATGAGTAAATCCTACTTTCATAAAAAGATTAAAATACCAGTTCTGGCTTCGAGGCATTGAGTTCAGCAATCATGGGCTTTTATTCAGTCTCAGGACAATGTGCACATTTTCAGTTATTCTTCCAAAGAGTTTTTTCAGGGAGCTTTTGATGTCTTTATTCCTCAGACTATAGATGAAAGGGTTCAGCATGGGTGTGACCACACTGTACATCACTGAGGCTTTCGCAACGGAGTGAGAGTTTTCAGTGACAGCCGAGCTAAGGTACACACCTAGGCTGGTGCCATAAAATAAGGATACAACTGAGAGGTGAGATGCACAGGTGGAAAATGCTTTATATCTCCCCTGAGCTGAAGAGATTGCACATATGGAGGAAACTATCTTGGAGTAAGAGTATAGGATGGCAGCAAAGGGACAACAGGCAATTATCACAGTTGCCAAATATATCACTATATCATTAGGAAAAGTGTCCGAACAGGCAAAGTGGACTACCTGATTAAGTTCACAGAAAAAGTGTGGGATTTCCAAGTCTGTGCAAAAAACAAGCCGCAACACCATTAAGCTTTGCACCAAGGCATGCAGTACGCTCACAATCCAGGACAACAAAACCAGCAATCCACAGAGCCTGGGATTCATAATGACCATATAATGCAGGGGTTGACAGATGGCCACAAAGCGATCATAGGCCATCACTGTTAGCAGAAATATGTCTACCACTGAAAAGATTAAAAAAAAATTCATTTGGGTGATGCAGCCTTTATATGTTATGGTATTGCTCTGAGAGTGTATGTTCACCAGCATCTTTGGTACAGTGGTGGAGGTGAAACAGATGTCCACAAAGGAGAGATTGGAGAGGAAGAAGTACATGGGTGTGTGCAGGTGGGTCTGTAAGATAATAGCCAGGATGATGAGCAGGTTCCCTAGCACTGTGACCATGTACATGGAGAGGAACAGTCCAAAGAGAGCAGGTTGCAATCTATGGTCCTCTGAAAGTCCCAAAAGAAAGGCTGAAATTTGTGTCTTGTTCTGTGTCCTCATTGGGTTGATGTAACTAAAAAATAATAAAAATAATTAAATGACACAATTATGTAGTACCAACTTGATAGAGATGCTATCATGTATATCTAAGACATGGATTCCTATGTTCTGTGTATGAATCTGTGTCCCTTTAGATGATTCTCCTTGCCATTTTTTATTTTGAACATCTACCTCACTTTCACCTCTTATAAAGAGGCTGTATTCTCAGAAGTTTGAATTTGTCTGTGCCTTTGAGGAATATAATTTAGTGATCATCGGATTCCAGGAAATGATTGATCAGTACTGGGAAAACAAATATTCTTAGTTTCTTCTGAGGAAGAATAATACAAGAAAGTAGAAGTAGGTAAAGAAATCATCACTTAACATGTCACTTGGCAGCAGTGGCTACGAAAGAAAACATACAAATTCAGAAGAAGAAAGGAAAGAGGGAGGATTATTTTTACTGAATGCACAGGCAAGGTGATATTTAAGAAGCAACCTCCAGGAAAATGGGGAGAGAGCTTCAAAGTCATCTGCAGAAGTGTGCATCTGGCAAGAGGCACAGGCAGTGCAAAGACGGAGGAAAGTGCTTGTTTCAGATGTTTCTGTTCAACAAGGAGCATGAGCCAGAGGGACAGTGCTGAGGGGTGGG